CATAGGTATTGTTAACTACCATCATTGTGCATGTCTTCTCTTAGACAAGACTCAATCTTTTAGAGCTGCAAAAGCAGCAGTTACCTTCTTCATACATGCAGGTTTTTCACTGTCAAGAGTGCAATGTCTAGTTATAGTGCTCCCAAGGTATGTGAATTTATCTATCACCTTCAGTTTGTGGCCATCCACAAATATTGATGGTTCAATGTAAGGTGAACCTGGAGCAGGTTGAAACATGACCACTGTCCTGTTCAGGTTGATAGTGAGGTTGAAAGGTTATCCATCAGAGCTTGCATTTCTTGTTGTTTGATTGACAGTCAGCTTACAGAAGATCTTGGACAGGAGCTTGGAATGTTTTAGATTTAGCAGAGAAGTGTTGAATATCAAACAGCTTACCAGTTGTACAATATTGAATATATATACCCTAGACACAGTTCTTAAAGGCATGGAGAACAACAATAGAAAAGAAAATTCAGAATAATATAAGCTACAAGGTCACCTTGCTTGAAACCATTTCATACCATGATGAGTTTTGAAAGTAAACCACCAAAGTTAACATCTCCTAAGTGTTTCAAGATCTTCCACATAAATGTTAAAGATCTTGATAAGATCTATGAAGACCTGAAACTGACCTTATTCATATGGTTTCTCTGGGATTTGCCACACTGTGAAAATCATATCCAATATTCATCTATTAAACCAGGTGACACATTTTAACACTGTTTGTATTGTAACCACAATTTTGAGACAGGAAAAAGTAAGAACACTGAAAAAACTAAATAAAAAATTAATAAAATTTTCCTTGTCCGTCATATTTAATGAAAGATGTTTAAAATAAAGGTTGCTCCCTCAGTATGCATTAATATATATACATGTATATTTAGGTAGCATATCTTCACATGTGTTTTCAGAAATCATCATCACGACAATCAGAATTACAATAAGTTTGTTTTCAAAATTCACCCCTGAGGATGATCTTGGAGGAGGTAAAAAGTACTTAGGTAAGGAAAAACTACAGCACCTTCATTGATGAATTCCAACTTAACATTACGAAGCTAATTAGAGAACTAGAAAAATTATTCTAAAAATAAATAGACATAAAATGTCTGTATTATTCAATGAAACATGTTTGAAAAAAAAAAAAAAAAAAATATATATATATATATATATATATATATATATATATATATATATATATATATAAATGTTTGTTACCACAGAACTTGTAGATAGTTTTAAAAAGACAAAACTGCATATTTTTCCCTATAAAAAAGGTAATCTTTTTTTGCCCAACACCTTATCAGAAGAATCATTAGCAAGTAGTGGAATATAATGATAATCGCAGAAAATAGACATACTGGAAGGAGACAAGGAACTACAATTAAAATACAATTTGATATTAAAAAGGGGGAGGAAAAAAGGGGGAATGGCAAAAAAAGAATAAAATGATGAGATGTTGGCTGAAAAAATGTTAACTTTTTTAAGGGAAAAACATGTGGTTTTGTTTGTTGTTTGTTTTATATATATATATATATATATATATATATATATATATATATATATATATATCTTAAATACAGGTATTTACCACTTTACTCTGAAAACGTTAAATTCTGTCCATTTCCAGATCATATAAAATGCTGCAAAACAGAAAATCTCAGAACAATCTTTTTTCAGACTTAAAAAATAATAAATTTATCAGATTTAATTCATAACACATTTCATCAGGTTTATTCATTTTTAAAAACATAATTTATATAATTTTTTTGTGTTTTTAAATTACTATTCTAACATCATTCTTTTAATGAAATTAATATCTACTTGTTCAAATCAAACATTAGTTGTCTTGCATTTAACCTCTAATTTTAGGACTGTTTATTTCTTCATGTTCAGAATAAGAAGTAATGTCTGTCTACATGAGATTTTTCTCATTAAAAGAATAATTCATACTAGAAATATTCATACCTCTTTTAATCTGATGCACAGAAAAAAAATCAATGTAAAAATAAGCAGAATTTTTTTCTAATTTACAAATCTAATCCCAATTAGAATGGTTGCTTTTATTTATCTCCCCTGAACTTTATTTGATAAAGTATTTCACTTTGAATAAGATAAAGCTTAGAAAGAATAACAGTTATGGTATTTCATAGATTATCTGTCTGGTATGATTGATTAAATGAAGGTTTCCACACTTTGTAACTATTTGATTATCTAGAAATACATTAATGTGTTATTTATTAATAAACATGATTAAGTTATGATGAACATATTGTACATAAACCAAGAAACACACACACACATTTATTAATGAATAACATGTTAATATATTTCTAGATGATACTTAGCAGACATTTACAAATCCATACATCTATGCATTTGCAAATGTATATATTTATATACTAGATCAGGGTATACATATATCATTTTAATACATACTAATTTTCGTAATGATATTTGTTGCAATGACCAAACTGACAAAATATTTGAAGCTACTAAGTAGAAACTGCTTTTAGTACATAATTAGTGATTTTACTCTATTTTTATTTTTTCATTTTTTTTATTTTTATTTTTTTTTTACAGCTGTTGTCATCGAAAGTCATGATATCTTAAGAAAAAAACTTTAAACCACAAATGGTATCCATCTGATAAAACATTTTGTTTTGATTTTTTTTTTTTCATCTTTTTCTCTTTTCTACTTTGATAACATGATTGTTTTAAAATTTTCACATGGAAATATCCATTTTGGTCTCGGGCAAGACAAATTTTTATTTCTGTGATTTTTAACTTTGTGCTGTTTTGAATTAGTGAAATTTAACCCATTAATTGCAGATGATAAAAATTTCCATTATTTCAATTCTATGGTTCAAATGCAATTTATAGAAATTTCTGTCATAGAGACACATTTAAAATAAAAATATATCCACATCTAAAATGCTATGTGTATCCCTATATATACATATGTGTGTAATGTTATTTTTATATCATCAGAGTCCACAAGATAGAGATGGAAAAAAATTTCCATCAGTATTTAATGAACTCTTTTGGTGATGTAGTAGAAACAGACAACACAATTTTATGTTATGTTAAACTTCATAAATGAAATTCCAGATTTATTCAAACATGAATGGAGTATTATTTGTTCATTGCAATATTCTGGAAATATTGAAAGAAGTTAAAAAAAGAAAATATAGAGCAACATAAACTTTTCAATATTTTTATACAAAAAATAAATATATATATATAAAAAATGCTTATAAAAATGCAGAACAATATAATATAAAATAAATATTGACAAAAATATTTATAAAATACCTTATATCAACAGAGTACAACATAAGGTTTTCAGCACATTTTATAAAAAATAAATATAGACAAATAATATTTATAAAAATACTTTATATCAATGCAGAACAATATAAAGTTTTCAGTATTTTTTATAAAAAATAGTACTGCATAATATTTCAATCATTTTTTTATATCGCAACTAAAATATCTATTTTTTGTTATTTTGCAGACAGATTTCATTGTTTAATTTCTGATAGATATATAAGCAATAAGCTGCCAAAGAAAATAGTTTTGATTAAATCTTGAAATTGGATCAGAATGTCAAATGTAAAGTAATTGTTACCTATTTATTGTAAAAAAATGTGATTCCATCTTGCAAATTTACAAATTTACTATTTGTCTGTGCATTGAATACTGTTGCCATATCCAGTCAAGTGCTCCTTGAGATTCTTGACAAGATCCAAAGAAGGATCTGCAATGTAGTTGATCCTGACTTGGCACCTCAGTTTCAGTCACTTTTTCACAGACGTGATGTGGCTCCCCACTGTTCTACAAATATTTTCATGGCAACTGCTCTGATAAGATTTTTCCTTGGTGTCTGGACTACATGTGTTTAAGCATGCTACTAGATTGGCATCTAGGTCTCACCATTTTACTGTTGAAATAGTTAAATATAACTGACACTCTACTCTAACTGTTTCTTTTCTTGCACTTCCCAACAGTGGAACTCCCTTCCTCTTACTTGCTTCCCTGATAACTACAATTCTCAAAAATTTAAATGCAACATCAATCAACATCTTCTGTTACCTTGATCCCTGTTCATCTCTTATCCTTTCCTCAATCCCCCCTGTACACAGTCTTTTCCCTTACCTTCACTCTCTGTAACCCCCTGTGTACTAGTAGAATTCTTGCCTTGCTTGGAGTAAAATGATTAAAAAAGAACAAAAAAAAGTACTGAATGATGACTAAATTATTTGTGTATCTAGTATTATCAAAATTATCTTGACCAATAAGCATTGGATATAAGAATGATGAAATAACCAGTGTTAATGGTAATTAGCTTGTAGTCAGTAAATAGATATTCAGGTCAGGCAGATTTAGACTAATCATTAATTATATGATAAGGCTAGACACTGATGAATTAATTTATTTAATTTAATTAATTAATGTACTCTGATCTTTTTCATATCACTCATCTTACCATTATTATCATTGTTATATAAACATATAGAAATATGGAAGACATCAGATATAAATCTACATATTAGACGAATAGCAGATCATCAAATGACAAAGGGGAAAAATTCTAAGTAATGTATTTTATCCCCAGAAATGATTTTATGAATGAATGAGTTTTAACTATCTATCTATCTATCTATCTATCTATCTATCTATCTATCTATCTATCTATCTATCTATCTATACACACACACATATATATATATAATGTGTGTATATATATATATATATATATGTTAATATATTTTTATTGATATGTTATTTTTATAGATACAAATATTTAAGTAAATACTCTGTTTATAATAAACAGTATTAACAACATTTACCAGCTTGAATGTCCAAAAAAAAAAAAAAATATATATATATATATATATATATATATATATATATATATATATATATATATATACCAAAAATTTTTAATATATATATATATATAGATGTACCAAAGATTTTTAATGTAAAATTGGGCTTAGGGCCATGTGATGTTGAAACACAAGTTCCTGTATGATCACTGAAGTTAAGCAATGCCAAGCCTGGTCAGTACCTAGATGTGTAACTTCTTGGGAATAGCAGGTACTGTAAGCTTGGATGTGAGGGTGATATAGATCAGAGAGCTGAGTTCAAATTCCAGTTGGATTCATTATATTCACAAATGTGCAAATATCCTTGGTAAAGGTATGAATCCATCTGTATCCACTTGTATCACTAAAAACTATTATTATATTCCAAACAAATAAATAAAGTGGCATACAAAATATTTTGAATTTGGCATTAAATAATCCATAGAAGTTGATATGCCACTAAAAACAATAACTGACTCCATTGGTAAAACCATTTTTTTTAATACCTTTAACATGAGAACAGTCATATCTATCCACACATTCCTTTTCTTTATTATCTATAACTTGCCATACATTCTTGGGATAGATACTGGAGTGATTTCTCGTTGCCTTCTCCATAGTTTGGAATTCAGGATTTTCATCCTCTTAGACTGGTTGCCACCTAAGACTAAAGAGCCCAGTCTACTCTGCTATTTAACTAACAGCTAAAAGGAGAAGAGATGGGCATGTGCTTTTTCCATGGGCATTTGCGTGAAAATTAATGCAACATACTAAACTGGAATTTCAACTTGGCTCAATAAAACCATTACTAGTCTGAAGAAATTTCTTCTAAGAACAAAACACATTACTTAGGACTTTTATATTTTCCATTTTGTTGTTTGATTGCCTATACAAGAGACTCTTAGCTGGAGATGAAAATTCAAATATGACCCAAAAATCTATAATTAAAATTATGTTAAAAGTTAGTGAATTTTGAAATTGCGTGATATTTATTAATATAAAAAAATTAAAAAATGTTCCAAACTAATTGCTCTATTGTCTTTAACTCTTTCTGAAACTACTGTCATTTTAATAGGTCTTCCAGATCCTAGATTTTGACAGTTATTGGCACTAAAATTGGAATCAACAAGCTCTATTCAAATTCCAACTAAGACTGTTGTGTTCAGTTCACTGCCCTAAGAAGAGACATACATACCCCCACTCAACAGCTGTGGTTCAAATAGAAGGGTAGATTATGCTCTCAAACCCTGAGCAGCAACTCGTCAGAGAAAATGAGTTTGCATTTTCCTAGATTGGCTACCAACCAAGGTTTGAGAGTCAAGTCTACCCTGCTATTTGAACCACAGCTGGAGGTATAAAGTAGAAATTTATTCATGTTATTCCAAACTGTTGAGAAGACAACTGGAAACTGCTTACTATCTTTCCCAATAGGTTATGTCAATTCATAGATGATGAACTACAAGAATCTGTGGAGAGTCATAGTTGCTTATATCCAGAAAGTCCACAGCATTAAAAAATTTATAAAAGTCATTCATTAATAAGTAAGCACTAAACAAACACAATTTCTAAAATATAATGCCCTAGAGTCACACTAAGCAAAGTACCTACTATGACCCAGATTTACCTTGGGAAGATATTGTACTCTGGGTATTGGCTGCTAACCATGTAAATCTTGGCTGTACTTTTGACCACTGCATATATTCGGTAGTGTTAGTGTGGACCACGCAGACCTATCAAAATATACTCCATTCGCATACATATGAGACCAAGCATAACATTTCAGATATCTTAAATCCATTAATGTAGGAAGTTTAAATGGAATTTGAAAATATTTTTGAAAAATTTTATCTGTATGAATAAGCAAGAAATTTATTAATGTGTAATTTTACCGATGTAACGTTAATTTAAATAACATTTTTAAAATAATTATTATCACTGCAAGAGAAATGAACAAGAAAAGAGAAAAAAAAAAAAGAATTTGAATATGATAAAAAATTCTACACACGCGTACACACATATATGTGTGATTTGTTGTTTTTTTTGGTGTGGGGGGGAAATGTTTTGGGTTGTTTTTTTTATGGATTTTTTACATTTATTTATTTTTTTTTTTAAATTATATTGAAGAATACTTTTATTTTAAATCGAAAAGAGGACATTTCATTTTCTAGTTAGTTTCAGCTAGAAGGAATATAAAAAAAATGAGTATTTATATAAAAAAATTATCTTTTTTTAATATTTTATTAAAAAAAAAAAAAATTAACAGAATGAAGAAAAGAAATAAAAAAAAAAATTTCCTTTTTTAAAACAAAGATCATTTAAAAATTGTTAATTTTTATAATTTCTTGGAGACCAAGAATTTAGGTAAAGATTTATTTATCACTGGCTTTAAAATTGCGTGCCAATTTTTTAAAAGCCAAAAATACAAATTCTCCTTCTCATTTTCACTATCGGCAAATGTTAATAATACAAATTGAAGAAAATGGGAGATAGTGAAGGCAAATACTATTACTTCTTCTAATATAAGTTATTGATTTCTTTCCTTTTTTGTTTCTTCTTTTTAGTTATTTTTCGGTAAAAATTAACACCATCCTTGTGTTTTACTAGACATTGTGTAGTAAAAAAATAAATAAATAAAATAACCGATGGTGGCAATGCTAGTGTTTTCTTCTTTTTTAAAATAAAAAAAAAAATAAGAAGGAAAAACACATACAATCGCCAACAACTATGAACATTGAACAAGGCCTTCACCGGGACATGTGATTTCATCTCCCTGGCATTATTATTATTATTATTTATTTTATTTTTTTCGGAAAGATAGCCTAATTTCTGCTGACGTCTATCTCCATGTAAGAAACAGAGGCAGTACGTTAAAAATATCGGACAGAAGGGGATTTTTGGATTTAAGAGATTTTTATTATTTCACTGATCAATGAAATGGTGTTTTGAGTTACGTAGAAATAAACCGTCTTAGACTACAATTATATCAAGTAATGCCGGCATGACCCAGGCAGACGGCGCTGATGGAGAGAGGGAAGGAAGTAGACCGTGACAGAGGAATAATTACATCAACTGGTGCATTGTGGGAAGAAAGGGTCAGGTTGGGTATTTATTTGATTAACAGACCGTCAAATAAATTTTCATTTTTGCGGTTATAGGTGTAGCGTATCGATAACTGTGCACGGACAAGAAAGAAGAAGGAAAAGAAGCAGCAGAAGAAGAAGTAGAAGAAAAGAAAAGCAAGAGAAATAATGATGAAAATACATCTACATCTCTCCTCCTAAATGAGGGGTGACAGTTTTTTTTTCCATTTGTGAACAACACCTATTGGTTTCTTCCCGACCAACCCTCACTGACCAAAACAAGGCGCACCAAGCCACCCACAGCCCCATCATCTTGGGCCTCCCTCACCCTTCTTCCTTTTCTCTCTCTCTTTCTCTTTCTCCCTCCTTCCCATCTTAACACTGTTGTCATACAGCAGCATGATCATCAGCAGCAGCACAAGCAGCAGCAGCAGCAGCACTAACAGCAGCAGCCACTCACTACATTACATCTCACCACCGACACCAGTGGATTTTAACAGCACAGGTGAGTTTGTGATTTTTATCTCTTTTCTCTCGCCCACCCCCACTCTAGATATTATCCCACTTCACCTGACTGATCCCTCAGTTTCATTTTCATTGGTGAGGAGAGGGAAAGAGAGAGAGTCCTTGTTTGATATTATTATCCTTTTTTTTTTGTTTGAGATCATATCTCTCACTCACTCTTTCTCTTCTGTCATTTTTCTTCCTTTCTCTCCCCTTACCAACCCACATTCCCTTTTGAGTTTTACGAAATGTCTTCTTCCCTACATGAATAATAATAATAGAATAGTAACAACCTAATGTTGACACTATCATCGGATGTAATTGTTTTCGCCTAGCTTCATCCCACCCGCTTCTACCTTTTTAGTTCCAGCCTCCCTACCCAAAACCCATATATAGGATGTTTTGCTGAGAAATAAACATCCAATTTCACTTGTTGGCTATCATCAGATTCGCACCTGCCCTCCTATGCGTATATGACATTTACTCTTCTTTCTCGGCCAAAGACTGTTGTTTTCGGTAGTGTCGTAATAAAACTGACAGAAAATGAGATATTCAAATGAGTTTTAGACGCTTGACTGCTCGCATCAAAACTACTGGCCTCCTCAGCAGTTATATTTTAAGACAAAAATTACACCCTCTTCTTATCCACCTGCACCACCCCCACCACACACACATCTCCAACAAACAGTGAAATCTGATAATTAATTATTTTTAAAGTCCCATACTACGTGTACTCTAATTATGTATATGTGAGTAGATTTTTAACAGACCTTCTAAATAATGTCAGTGTTATACATCAGATTGCTGTGAAATATCATATCATAACAATACAGGTATTATCAAATATCCTTTCCCCCAACTCAGACCCACTTCTCCCTCTTTCTTTGCTGACACCTAGAATTTTATTTTTCATAATATTTATTTTGATATGTGTACAAACAAATCATATGATCTATGTAGGTAGGTACTCACGGATATATTTAGACACATTCATAATATGTATGTGAGTGAGTGCGTATATGTGTGTGTTGTAAGACAAACAGTGTTATATGTTAAAATATTTTGTTTTTGTTTAGAAAAACGAGGAAAATATTTTGATAAAGGAAAATAATTAAATTAACCATAATTCTGCAGGTATTTGTAAAGATTGCTTTAAAAATTAAAAAAAAATCTGTCCCTGAGCCACTCTAAATAAAATCAGATTTTCTTTCATTCAAATGACCAGTTACTTCTCTTTCTTTATTAATAAATGTTAACATATTTTTATTCTTGTTTATATATATATATATATATATATATATATATGCATATATATATATATATATATATATATATATATAAATGATTAACATATTTTAACATCACTGTAGTATAGTACTAATATTGGTGACCTCTCAGTAATGTTAGTAGTTGAAGATAATATTTTGGTTAAAAAAAAATAGGAAAAGAAATGAAGACAACAAAAATCAACCCAACAGAATTGTTTCCAGTCAATATATATATATATATATATATATATATATATATATATATAATCACACCTCATCTTTGCATTCTTACAGGTTTTTTTTTCTTTTATTCTATTTATTTAGTTATGCCCCCCCACAAGTGGTGTGAGTGGGGGGTCTCTATAATAATTACTACACTGAAATTAATGG